GGTTCTATCTGTGAGTTAGTCATGACCTGACTTAGATCAGCTCAGAGGTTGTTCCAGGGCTCGATACATTTTTGTTTGTTTGCAATGTTCAAGTCATACTACCATACAAATATTCCTAATAACAAGTTCATATCTTGTAGTACGAAGAAGGAATGAAGCCCTCGTGTGTTTACTGGAATAAATCAAAGTAAGTACACAACAAACATATAAATAATGGACTACAATTCTTGACAAAGTTTCATTCGTTCCACAAGGAACATATTCATCACTGACAAAGGCGTGGCAGCCATATTGGTGTACAACGCGAAATTATTTAAGACAAAATGGCTGCCATGACGTCACATGAAAATCCAGATTTTCTAGTTCTTTCCTTAACTGTTGATGCCATGTGACTTAGTTACGAGCTCGTCAGGAATGGACTTGGTTTATGGAGCTGAATTAAGTAACTCAAGATAGAAGCTTTGTAGCGTTGTTTCTTAATCCATTCCTACAATCCCTTGGGATACGAGTCGTTACTACTTTACTACTTTGAATTTTAAAACAATTAAGTTGGTCAACGTCCTACCTCGTAAACATTGAATTTCAAATAGAAATTTTTTGTTTCTAGTGAGCATACCGGATCCTGGTCAACTTACGGCTGTCTGGTCAACTCCACGAACTTGACTCACACTATTTGTCATTGTAACCACTTGACAAGCTTCTCTGTTCTCATGCAGTATTCGCCTGTCACGGGCCTCATTTCGGTAAGTCTGACTAGTTTACTTATGACTGCGAAAAGGTCACGGCACGAAAACTATCGCGTGGCACAGCAAGGCATACGCCAGACCAATCACGTTGCATAAGGATTTACTCTTCATCCAATCAAATGCCCAAAACACGGCAGGGACACGGTCTCGTCAATGTCACGGCACTGCTAGACCAATCACATTGCGCGAATAAAAATTCCCCCAATCAAAATTCTAGAAAACATTACGGCAAGGTACGATACGGCACCGACTTTTTCACAGTCATAAGAAAACTTCTCTTAATGACGAAAGATAGTGGATTAAAAAGGAAACTTCAGTAAACACCCTGTAAAAATATTTGGATGATGGGTCGATATGATAACCCGAAAGCTTGAAAAAGAAATTTTTTTAAATGTTTTTTTAAATCAACGTGTAAGAAACCACACACAGCCAGTTAGTGAGAAAAAGAATGGTCCAAGCTGGCATTGCAGTACGTTATGGGATGGACTGTTTTAGGGAATGAAATAGATGCAATCTTGGAAATATGTATGTCGACTAAAACAGACCCACAATGCATTGTAATACCAACTCGACCCAATCTTGCTTAACGTCAACTTAACCCTTTTATTTATCGTATTTTTTTACCAGAATAAGCATCATTTTGCCCTCAGTATCATTACCTACGTTGGTGTTGGTATCTCGGCTGTCGCGCTGTTCTTAGCTCTCATCACCTTCATCGGGTGCACGTAAGTAATTCTTTTTTTTTTTTTTTT